TGAATAATTTTAGATAAAATAACTATACTAATTCTTCCTACCTTGTTTTTCAAAGGGTTTAAAAGGCGAACTGAAGGGTTGTTAATAAAATTATCCTTATGGTCATTCAAAGTGAAAAAACAGCCGGACAATCTGTTTATCTCAATATTATTATACACTTTATGGTGGATTAAAAGGTTTTTTCCTTCCTTAATTATTTGATCTTTTAATTCTGGCATCGACTTTTTGTATGTAGAAGTAATTGCGTTTGTTAACAATTTGTTGTATTCATCTTTAGATAATTTAAATAAATTAGATGTTTTGTCTGTCTTTATTAATGTTTTATGCGACGTATGTATGGATTTTAAGTCTGTTTGCATATTATTTTGAAACTTGCAGTTTACGTTGCAAAATTTTATTGATTTAACTAATTTTATAATGTCTTTTTCGAAAGAACGCATTTCATTTATTTGCGGCGGGCATTTTGATGATTTGATTCTGTAGTCTGTATAATTTGATTCATTTCTTCGGTAGTTATTTATGAAAAAGAACGCCTTCCATCTCATAGATGCTAAGTTTTCCTGGCCCTTATTCTTGTTAACCTCCTGCCATCATGTCTGAGAGCTTCATATAGTTGTAGCCTATATAAAGCTCTCCAACATGATTACCCATATAAGGTAAAGATAAAACTACTTCACTTTAAAATATCTTTTTGTAAAAACAAAATGTACAAGTTTCTAATTTCGAAATTATTCACATTTAGACATAACTCATATATATATATATATATATATATATCTATATATATATATATATATATATATATATCTATATATATATATATATATATATATATATATATATATATATATATATATATATATATATATATATATATATATATATATATATATGAGTTATAAGTTATTATGTTAAGATTTATGGGCCTCATGTTTGAATGATCATTACATTTAATTTCATATTAATGATTATTTTAGAATTATCTTGGAATAGTAAAAGTCTTTCTTATTTTACATTGACTTTTTTGTTTGACATTGACATTCTAATTAATTTGATTCAATAAATTCAAGACTGTATTGTTCTTAGTTAATAAAGATGTATTATATATTTAATAAGCACTTTTGAGAAAATCTTACTGTTGCCAATATCTGGGCTAACTTTTAAAAATCCTTTTTTTTAAAAAAAAAAAAAAATAACACTAAATTGTGTTTTATATATTTTATATTTAGAGTGACTACCATTTGTATTTGGCAACGACCAGGATATGCTGCAAATTGAAAGTAAATGAAAATGCGGACGCTTTTTCTAATGAATTATTCCCAGAAACTAGCGTAAGTTGTATTATTTTGATTTTAATAGTAATTTTTATTTATAAAAACTCAAAGGATAATTGTAGGAGTTTATATAGCTATATGTATTTCTTTTTTTGCATACAAATTTTGTGTGTGCAAACTTTTTGTGCAAAGTGCAAACATAAAAAATGCGTTTTGCAAAGCATTTGTGCGTCCAAACTACTGCCCACAAATTATAAATGGTTTGCAGTCCATGCTTAGTTGGTCCAGTACCTTAAATTCAGAAACTGATTTTGTTGTCTTGGTATATTTAGGAAACTTATTCAATTTCTTTACTATTCTGTTTGTAAAAAAATTAACTTTTTTAGTTTTTACAATTTCTTGCTTGAGGGGCCTATTAACTTATTTTCAAAAATTTTCTATTATATATATTTTAATGAGCATTCTTTATAGGAAATATTTTTCAATCAGTCTGCAACTTTAGTGGCACTTCATTGAATCTTTCTGTTTTTAGCAATATTATCCTTGAGGTGGGTTTTCAATATGGGTACAATATATTCATTTTACTGGCTATGTATAATCAGGGTTGGACTAGCTCTTTGTGGCGGCCTGGGGGATGATATTTCTAGCGGCCCTCTACAAAATCTTTAAAAAAATCACATAATATATAAATAATGTGTTATTTAACTCTTAGGTACCATAATTAACAATAGGTTATTTTAATTTATAAGTTTATTTATTAACATATTAAAAGTACATAATTTAAAAAACAAAATATTAAGTCATCACACTTAATTATACTATCAAAGAATTTATATTAGTGGCCCATTTCAAGAATTTATATTAGTGGCCCATTATAATAGTGGCCAATTAGATTTATATTAGTGGCCCATTGTAAGTAAGATATCAGCGGCCCACCGGGGCTTCCCCCAGCATCCCGGTGGACAAGTCCAACCCTGTGTATAATAAATAGTGAGGAATTTTTCCCATATATTTTTTTATTTTCCAATAATCAAGTAAGCTAATAGCATTTGTCACAGTTTTTTCTTAATTTTAGATTAATGCCTAATGGTGTCAGTGATTAAATATTAACAATTAAACGATTTTAACTGTATTTTAAATTGTGCAGCCAGGCTAACACTCTTTTTAAATATTACCTTTCATGGTTATTTTATCTATCATGTAGTTTTCTATTATATTTCATCATTAAAGGTCTACGGGTAGTATCAAGGATTAAAGTAGATATTCAAGGGAGATCAGGAAATTTAGGGAAACTAGCCCAAAGTATGGGTAAACAGAAATATAAATCTAAAGCATGTTGATGTTATATAATATTCATTTTATTTCATCTAATTCCAAATGTAGTTTAACCTAGTTTCTTACACTTAGTGCAGATTTTTCTTGTAACAATTTTGCGTAGTTATTTCTTGTGACAATTTTGTGTAGTTATTTTTGGTAATAATTTTGTGTAGTTATTTTTGGTAATAATTTTGTGTAGTTATTTTTGGTAATAATTTTGTGTAGTTATTTTTTGTAAAAATTTTGTGTAGTTACTTTGGTAACAATTTTGTGTAGTTATTTTTGGTAATAATTTTGTGTAGTTATTTTTTGTAAAAATTTTGTGTAGTTATTTCTTGTAAAAAATTTGCGTAGTTATTTTTTGTAACAACTATAAAAATTTCACAATAAACTAATAAATAATCACAACTCAGTAAAGTAACATTTTATAATTGAATACTTCATAAATTGCAAATATCTAGTAAAAATTCGATATATATCACAAACCTTAAGAATTTTTTTTATAATTATTAATCCAAATCTTCACAAAAATATCCTGAAAATAAAATTTTTTAAAGTAACTTTAAGTCAACAATATCATCTTTTACACTTTATTTAAGTCAACAATATTATCTTTTACACATTATTTAAGTCAACAATATCATCTTTTACACTTTATTTTTATTAAAACATGCTACAGTGTAATGTTCAAAGAGTTCATAACAACTACACAAAATGTAAATGTTATTTAGTCTATTTTATGTTATAAGATATCAAAATTAATTTTCTAAGATAAATTGAAATTGGTAAAAACATAGCACGAATAAGTTTGTACAATTAAACTTAACAATTTAGCTCAATTAAGTTTGCACACTTAAATTATTAAAAAGTTAGTACACTTAAATTATTATTAAGTTTTTAACTTAAATTATTATTAAGTTTTTAACTTAAATTATTATTAAGTTTGTATACTTAAATTATTATTAAGTTAGTACACTTAAATTATTATAAAGTTTGTATACTTAAACTATTATTAAGTTTTTACACTTAAATTATTATTAAGTTTGTATACTTAAATTATTAAGTTTAATTTTTTACACTTAAATTTAAATTTAATTCAAGTTTAATTAAAGTTAATAAAAGTTTGAGTTTAAATAAAAACAATAATAAAATCAAAAAATGTAAATAATTAATAAAAATAAAAAAGTAAATATAATTATAAAAAATAAATAAATAAATTATTAAATAAAAAATAAAATAAAAAGATTAAAGTTCAAATAATTTTCTAAAATTAAGTTGTATTTTAAAATTACTTTATTTTTTTTATTTTATAATAATTATTACTTTTTTTTAATTATTATTGTGATTTTTTTATTTTTATATATAAATTTGTTTAAGGACATAACATAACAGTTATTCTGCAGCACTTTTAATGACAGCTTTTTTTTGTTATAAAGTTTAGTTTGAAAATTTAATACCCCTGCTTTCTTTAACATTTTTAAAATTAATTTTCATCCATTATAAAGTTTATTTGTTTGGTTTTCTAGACCAATCAAATAATGATTTTATTAGAGATAGGATAATCGGTAATTTTTTAGCAGACCAACTATACTCATACATTGTTTTAAAAACTTTAAAGTTTTTGATTAGACTTTAAAAATCTAAAAAGATCTAAAAAAAAGATCAAAAACTTCAAAATTTCACATATCTGACTTTTTTACTTTTAAGTTTCTCTTGATTGGTTTTTGCATAATGAATATTTGCCAGGTCCCATCAAAACTGTTAGATTCTAAAACAGACAAAACTGTTAGATTCTAATTCATTAAAATCATGGAAATTATGGAAATGTCATGGAATTTTATTTGGTCATGAAAAAGTAAAGGTGTTCCTAAATTTTCATTGAAAATCATTGAGAATTCTTTGAGAACTTTTTAAAATGATCTTTATTTTCTTTTACTTGTGATATTTTTAAAACATTTTTAAAGAAAAGTACTAGAATGTCTACTCTAAGTCCTTTTTGAAAAATATATTTTTGCAGTGTAAGTTATAGATCATTTTTTTGCAATCAGACAGTGACAAGGTCACCCTTTTCAAAAAATAGTTTAAATTTTAGTATTTATCAGAATAAGATCTCAGTTTAATAAATAATTAAAATACATTTTAAAATTTTGTTTGTATCAATCAATCAATTATGGTTAGGTCAGATCACCGTGCTACTGGTAACATGTAATCCAGCACAACCGTTTTTCATAGGATCTACTCATAGTAGTGATTTTTACATTGTAACACCCCTGATTGCAAGAAAATTTTCAATAAAAAAATTGTAAAATTTTTTTTTTTTGTTTGTAGTTTTGTTAGAAATACTTTCTGTTATCTCTAAAGCCATGCTTTAAAACCTCATTTTGGAATAAATTTTTGGAATAAAGTAAAATAAATTGTAATGGAAATACGTTGAAAAACCCTAATAATATCAATTGCAATTAGTGATTGTCATTAGTTAGCAAAAAGGTTTATTATTTGTGTGATTATAAATTTAATCTCTTGTGGTTTACAAGAAGTTGTGAATAAATGTGTTAAATTTACAAGAAGTTGTGGTTTACACGAAGTTGTGGATAAATGTGTTAAATTTACAAGAAGTTGTGGTTTACAAGAAGTTGTGGTTTACAAGAAGTTGTGGTTTACAAGAAGTTGTTGAAAAATGTGTTAAATTTATTATTTAGAGTAAACATTGAATTAATAATATAAAAATGTCCTAGAAAAATTGCAGTTTCAATTTTGAGTGGCTAAAAGATTCTAGATTTTCAAATTGGATATCTACAGACAAATTTGTATTGAGTACAAGATGTTTGCATGTGTAATTACAGTTTCAGTAACATTGGAATCAGTGCAGTAATAAGTCATGGGTTAGTAAGAAACATTTGAGAAAGGCAGAAAAAACTAAAAGCATTGGTATCTTTTTTGACAATCAATTGCTTCCGATGGAAAAATCTTGTTTATTTGAAGCACCTTCATTGAATCATACAATGTTCCTGCCTGCTCTGGTAATGCAAAAATACTGTGGGCTTTAAAGGTTGTTGTGTCACACTATATACTTAGATCATGTAGTGGTTTAAGTGAGTTGTTTAAAGTTATGTTTACAGATAGCATAATTGTTAGAGGTTTTTGATTGAGTAGAAACTTTATAATGTATCCTTATTTTAAAAATGCATTAATTAAAGAAGTTTAGCTATCGCCATTTTTTGTTGTCTCCTATAAAGAGTTTATGAATTGTATATTTCAAGAGGAACAGATGGATGTTCTAATTTTTTATTGGAATTAGTCCTCAAGTGTCATTGAAACTCGTTATTTGGAAATCAAAACTTTTAAAACGACTTAAAGCTCAAAATTAAACCACAGAATTAAATGGTATTGGTGACAAAAAACTTGTTTCAGCTCTCCATAGATTGACCAAGTACCAACTTAAAAGTTCTACATCTTCTTAACGACTAAAACTCTAGCTCTAAGCTACTTGATATTGGATGCATGCAATTCACGATGCATTCGCTTCTGATGTAGAATACCATTGAACTTAAAAAAGATAATAAAGGCAATGTGGCAAATTTTTCATGAGTTACCTGTTAGAAGGGACGTTTATGAAAAAGAAAACTGTTGTGAAGAGTTTCCATTGAGGTAATGGTGTTATAAAAATATTTTTAAGATTTTTAATGTGTGTATATGGCTTTCAACCTACCACTTTTTATGTTAAAATCCTTTAACTACTATGCCCATCAGCTTTTTACTTCCCACTGTTAAGCAAACTAGCAACTGATACATAAAATTTAAACGGAGTTATCATTTATTTATTTATTACTTTTTGTTTGATTCTGTTCAACACGCTGAACTGAGGATAAAGCAGTTGCTGATGAAAAAAAAAAAGCGTTTTGCAAAGCATTTGTGCGTCCAAACAACTGCCCACAAATTATAAATGGTACGCAGTCCATGCTTAGTTGCTCCAGTAGTTTAAATTCAGAAACTGATTTTGTTGTCTTGGTATATTTAGGAAACTTATTCAATTTCTTTACTATTCTGTTTGTAAAAAAGTTAACTTTTTTAGTTTTTACAATTTGTTGCTTGAGGGGCCTTATTTTCTAAGAGCTATTAGTATTTGGGGAAATGTTGTTAGAAATCTAAATTGTATAATATACTAGAAAGTCAATATAAGAACAACCTTCCAACAGCAAAGTTTCTATGGAGATGTTGCACAGCATTTAATAGAATTTTCGGTGGTATTCCAAACTGATTCTCTAATTGTTCTAAAAAGTTGCTTCAAAAAATTTTGCGCATTTTTTTAAAAAAATATATATTGAATGCTACACTCACTACATACCAACTTATCTTAGCTTGATGTTTCAAAAAAAGAAAATCAATTGCCAGCTAATCAAATACACTTTGGAACAGCATTCAAATTTTATTTAGGCTCTAAAGAGGTGACAGAAACAGCAAAACACAAACTTAAAGAAGATTGGATTACTATGCTGGTTAAAATTTATAATTCTGGTTCCTTGTTGGAAAAATACAAAAAAGAAGTCCTTTGTTATATGTTAGTGCGAATTGCAGTATGTCTATTCCCAAATAATATGGTTAATAACAAAAAAGAATGATTTGCTTGTTTTGGTCAGCGAGTTGAAAAGTTGAATAGACCAAAGTTGATATCCGTCCAAACAGCTGATTCTGCCAAAGATCAGTTTGAAGACTTTATAAAACCTGCAGTGAATAAGGAAAAGTTTAGGCAATTGAATTGCCTAAAAACAGGAACAAACGTTTTGAATTATTAAGGAAAGTCTGTATTCACTTTATCTCATAGTCATTGTCATACTTATCCTAGTTTTCACTTTATATCATAGTCATTGTGCTGTTGAGCGAGGTTTTAGTATCAACAAAGAACTTTTTATTAAGAACATGTAACACTTTTTATTAAGAACATGTAACAAATCTCGATTAGTCAGCATTCTGTTTATGACCATCTTACCGCATCAAAACTGGATGTTCACTATTTCACAATCACTAATCGTGTATCGTTACTCTAAACGAGGAAATTGATCGTTTTAGCATTCAGGCAGAAGAATCTAATTCAATGGAGTTATTAGTTAAAGTCAATGATTTCAGGTATTTATTAGTTAAAGTCAATGCTTTCCTTTTTCAAAAAGTAAAAGGAAAGCAAACCCTTATTGAACAGTTGGATAATCCTATTGTTAAATTAGAAAAAGGTTTAAAAAAGAATTTGACTTGTATTTATTCTTATAGTTTGTTTTGTTTACCATTTTAAGTTGAAAGTGTTTTTTAAATTATTTTATATCTTGGAAGAAAGTTATATTTCAGTAAAGAAGTTTGATTTTTTTGAATATTTATTTTTATTCAAAATTTTTAACTTCGTTATTTTAACCATTCAAACAAAAGACTCGCATCAAAAATTCTTGCACAAAAAAAGATATAGTTCATAGTTATTTGTTACTCAGAAACCTACGATGTTTAGAATAAAGTTATGTTAGCAATTATACCCTATTTTATGTTCATATAACTGTTATTTATTTTTCATAGATTTATCTAATAAAGATTATTTTTTATTATTTACTTTTGTAAAATAATGTTGGAAAAATATGTATATTCTTTTCAGTATATTAAAAAGCGTAATTTTTTTAAACCTGCACAAAAATTGAAGTTCGTAATTAGAGTTTGGATAAAACACCTATTACTTCCTATGCACTCTTATCGTCGCTACTTGGTCACCTTCACTCTTATCGTCGCTACTTGGTCACCTTCACTCTTATCGTCGCTACTTGGTCACCTTCACTCTTATCGTCGCTACTTGGTCTCTTAAAAAGTTCATGTCAAAATTTGTTGTCAAACTTTTGTCAGTTATAATGCAAACATCAGTGTTTTTTTCAAACTTGAATTCAGAACTTTCTAACAATTAGTTTTTGGTCTGTATGTTTTTTAGTGACCAAGTGTTAACGACTGCATGGCAAGTACTGGATATTATTTTAGTGACTAAGTGGTAACTTGGTGCATGGCACTGGATATTTTACTCTAGTGATTTAGCATAAAAGTTTATGAAGAGTCGTGGAAAAGTTTGAGTGGTCACCCTGTAGAATCATATTTGTAAATAAACGGCACCGATGATTTTTTTAAGCACTCGTCCTTGTACAATTTGGTATTGATGGCGAGTCCATGTTTGAAAAATAATGATCATAGATTTCAAGAACAAAAAAACAACAACAGCTTTTTAAAGAACACCTAAACTTTGTATTTAGTTTGATACTTATTTTTTACATTATCCGGCGTTTGATTAAAGCATCTGTGTAGAATTTATCATTTTCATCCAGGCAGGTTGCTAAATTTTTTGTTCATTTTTTCGCACTTTTGTTTTTTAGCCTAGGGTTCGCATTCCCTCAAAATTTTAAAATTGTCCTGCCAACTTTTAAATTAAGGTTTAAACTAAGAATATTACGTGTATCTCGACTTGCAATGGGGAATTAGAATTGGAGTTTTTACTAAACCAAAAGAAGTATCTACAGACAGTTTCATACATTAATTTAACCATGTTACTGTATTTTGTTTATTTGAGGTAATTGTTTTAATTTTAAGTTAGTATTGTTTTGTTTATGCAGTGGTACCGTAATACAAACAAAAACGCTTCTGACGCAGCCATTCAGTCTTGCAACAGACGCCTTTGGTATTTAATTGAAGAGTTAATTGTCTTGGTTGATGTACAGACTAAAAAATGGCTTCAATCCCATAGCAATTGTTCAATAGGTAAAATGATCTCATCAAACATTTTACCTATTGAACAATTGCTATGGGATTGAAGCCATTTTTTAGTCTGTACGTCAATAGCCGTTTTTCAAATCGTCTTAAGATTGTTTGCATATTTTGAGAAAAACGCATTTAAAAGAAAATTAAAATGAGAAACTCTATATAAAACGTTATTTGAAACTAATAATTTTTTATGAATTATGATATCTCAAAAAACCTTTTATATAATATTTTTTATAAATTTTTACAATTGTTCAAAAATATTTAAGTTAAATTTAATTTCTTATTGTAAAACTGTGCGTTTTCCCATAACTTTTCCGTAACATAAGATAATCCCCTTAATCATCTTTACGCCCTGTTATTTTTATTTTATTATCTTTTGTTGTGTGAATGTGATAAGTTGAGTTTGCTGTGTGAATGTGATAAGTTGAGAATTATTTTAAAATTTAAAGGTTAGTAATATTTTTTGTAGATGTTACCTGATCTCTATCATACATTACGCAAAGAAGCAAGCAGCGCTGTTCGTGCAAGAATTAAAGAAACTTCAGTTTTATTTGTTGAGTGTGTTAATGAGTTATTGTCTGCTTCAAACTTGCTTGTTTACTCTTGAAAAATAAAAAAGTAAAAAAATATATTTATATAGTTTTAGTTATTGTCACGTGACATAAAAAATATCTAATCTTATTACTGTTTAACTTTAGTTGGAATTATGAACATAAAAAAATGTTTTGTATCATTTAATCAAATACATTTTTAGTAGTTCAAAATCTGCAGGTTCGTTAAATCATTTTATAAGTATGTTTGAACGATAGGTAAGGTCAGGCAGTATACAAATTTGATCTCATAATTGTTTAAAAAGACCTGGTACTTGTGAAAGTTGTGAAAGGATTTTTCGGTTTTTCAATAGCGTATGGTTGCGATACTTCGCAGTGGGCACAAGACGTATTTAACAAGTCTAAAAACGTATTAATATATGTTGCAACGTTTTTTAGACGTCTAAAATACGTCTTGTGCCCATTGAGTTGAAAATTGCACATACACAACAGATTAATAAATACATTCAACCAAATAAAGTTGCCGCAACATGCAAACTTTGTGCGTAGAACAAACCCAATAAAAATGTAAATTTGTTGATGCTACAACTCCGAATAAATAATAAATGGTAAAATCCCTTTTATTTCTTTTCCGAAAAATTTAAAAGATCATAAAAGTAATTAATTAGTTCTGAAATTGCTGCCACCCTTTAATTTAAAAAGTTTACATAGATTTAAATTTAAAAAGTTTATATACACATGTATTTATACTGTCGCAAAAACAGCTTTTTTTTACAAGTGTAGTTATCCTAGAAAGATTATTGAATCATGGTTTAAGTGACAAAACAGCAACTGCTAATGAAAACGATAAAATTTTAATCAAAATCAAATTATAATATTTTAATGAAAACGATTAAATGGTGGATAGAACCATTTTACACAATAATTACTATATAATAATTACTTTTAATGTTTTTGTTTAGACTTATTATTTTGATTTTTTAAACTTTGTGGGTGAAGTAATACACATGACTAAAATCTGAGGTGGAGTGATGCACATGACCCATAGCCTCAATACACATCATAATAGAATTTTTTATCCAGCAAAATGATTTTTTCAAGTTTCGGAAATGCCTTCTACCCTCCAGGTGCTTTATATAAAGCTTTATAGGTTTATAATTATAAACTTTATAAGTCTTATTTTAAAAATAGCCATTTCAAAAAATAAGCTTATATGATGAGTTCAGTGTTGATAAAATGAAGATTTAGAAAGCATTGAAAGGAAAAAACTAAGATTCACTTCCAGACAAACCACATTCACTGCACTGGAGAAAACCAGATGATAGAAGACCAGAAGATACCATATACTTAACCTACAGTAGTGTCTTATAATTATAAATGTTCTTTAAAAAATAAATTTTGTGGCATGTTATATATTTGTGGGGATGTAGGTTTTTGTGCGCGAAGGGGTGTGGGAATGTTAACCCCTCTCCTTGAATGTAGATCCCATCATTCAATGCTTTGCAACTAAGTAGTACAGAATAAAAAACACGGTCTGTGATAAGACCGTAAGGACTTCTTGAGGCACCTAAATAAGTAATATAGTAGTTAGTATACATTTGTTACAACAAAAGTAAAAATAATTTAAAGAATAAAATTATTTAGATTAGATTGTCTGATTAGAATTAGTTTTTGCGAAGTTTATATTTCAGTTTTCACTAAGGAAAGCTGCGAGCTGTAGTAACCTTGGAGCATAACAAGGCTCGCTTTAAACCTGTTGAAAGTTGGAGTATTGATTACTTTATCTAGTAGCATGTTCCATGCATTAACAATGCAATTTTTAAAAAAGTGGAAGCGAGCTAAGTGGTTGCTGTACTTTTTACGGTGAAGTCTTTCTCTGTGATTTGCTCTTGGTGGAAATAAATTTTATTAGACTTATGAATAAATTTAAAAAAAAATGTTGGACGTAAAGAAAAGGCCTTCAAAAGAAAAATTTAACCGACTGAGTGTGTCAAATACCCGGCTAGCCTATTAACTTCGTGGAAAAACCGACTATAACTTAAAAATCACCATCTTTGGGGAATGGGGGTGTAACGTCCCCCATACTCCATACCCCGTAAAATCGACTCTGCTTATATTATGTAAGCCGAAATATCACTATGACATAATTAAAATAATATATAATTGAACATAATGTTTTATATATATATATATATATATATATATATATATATATATATATATATATATATATATATATATATTTGATTTAAGAAAAGTTTTGGGAGATACAGGGATCCATGTTAATTTTTTTTACCTTTTTTGACATTTTTTGACCACATGTGTGCCACCCTTAAATATTATTATACTTTATTTTTTTTTTTATAGTTATTAAAAAAATTAGACACTCCCTTTATACATATATTTTTTCTTTAACAAAAAAGTTGTTAAAAAAGACTGAATAATGATTTTATTTTTTATTTTAACGAAATTTTTTAATTCTGCTTTACACAAACAAAAATTATTTTGATACATCGTTTCTACGAGAGCAGCGTGATTTATTTGTACTTATGTATTAATCATGCTCAATTATCAACATCTGCTATTTTAATAATGTTGAACAAAACTTTAAGCTGTGTAAAGTGTTAATTTTGTTACTTTAAATTTGCAGTGTTTAATTGATTTTTGCATAATATTAAATGAACCATATTTTTTAAAATTAAGAAGATATCTAAGTTTATGTTGTAATAGTTCATTTACATGAAATAAAAACTAAAAAGTTATGCCATAGATTCATGGATTAACAAGAAGTCGAGGCAAAGAAGTATTCTTAATTAAAAAAACTAGGAAGACATTATCATCTATTCAGTTTTCAACTATAGAAGAAATAATTCTTTATTATCTTAAGATACAGAATTCGTAGCATAAAATGCATTTTACGGTCATTATTATTTATCATGCCTTTATGTAAATAAATTATATAGTTTTCTAATTAATATTAATTTCAGGAAAGAAGTTGAGGCTCTAATAATGAAATATAAAAAGCTGTAATCTTTTAAAAACAGATTGACACCAGGAGCAATCAAGGATAGAGGGACCTTTTTGATAGAATCTAAAAAGGATTTTTGGTTGGGACATGACATAAAATTATGATTGATGAAATAACAATGAATAGAAAAAAAAAAAAAAAAAAGAAATTATGGACATTTTGTATTTGAAAATGCATAAGGAAAAAAGGCAAGGTAATCTAGGTGGTTCTGATACTAGCTTTAATAATAAGGCTGCAAAAAGATCTGATAAAAAGGCTGGTGAAAGATCTTAAAAAAAAATCTAAAATATCTTCAGAAAAAAAAGAATTATATATATCTTATAGCTCAGAAAGTGATGTCACTGATTATTTAAGCTCAGAATGCAATGACTCTGTTAAAAGTGAGCTAAATGCAATGACTCTGTTAAAAGTGAGCTAAAAAGACTCTGTTAAAAGTGAGTTAAATGATAATACAAAAGAAGAAGAATGATACTACTGCGTCCGACACTGGAAAGCACCACGGAGTTTTAAAAAGAATGGCGCGGCCGCTACATCTTCTTGCCCGTACACATCATGTTTTATGAAAGACATATTACCCACTTCAACAAGATTTATCCCGGTAGTAAAATGTCTGGTCCCGACAATTAGCTTTTTAAACACTTAACATCAGTCTGGAATGATGATGAAAATGAAACAATCCGATTAAAAAAAACTCAAACTCATGCAGGAACTTGGGTAAAAAAACAACTTCTTGAGGCGGAGCAGCTCTACGGAGATTTAATAAATAAAAGGATCTACAAAGTGTTAAGAACAACTGCGTTGTTTATACAAATTTAATAAATTTTATTTTTACAATTTTGTACGATCAAAATATGTAAGACTAAATTTTTTAATTTTAGGATGGTAAATCAAGAAAAGATTATCAGGAGTTAGCTGAACTATCATTAATGACAGATTCTCAAAAAGAGAGGTTCAAATTTGTATTCCTGGTCCGTTACATCATGCAAGATTTATGGCAAAAGAATTGTATTACCTTGAAATGTATTTACTATTGGAAACCATTCCAAACGTATCAGAAGAAAATATTAAAGAGATTCGTGGTATGGCTATGTTTGTAAATATTTTTTACAGTAAGTGGTTCCTTAGAGCAGTGTCTGCACCTGCTGCTCCGTTCCAGGTTAAAAATAATAATAACAAATATGAAAACAGGTTAAAAAAATTTTTTAATTGTTTAATTGATGAATTAATCTGATTTTGTTAAAATATTGAGTAGAATATAAAAATGCTCTGGAAGATGAAGAGGTTCATGAATATAAATCTTCATGGAGCACTGAAATCGTTTGACAGGCACAGCTGGTGACTTGATTCTGCCTTAGTAGTGCTGGCTTTAGCGGATGAATATTATTCAAACAGAGAAGATATTGCCAAAGCGTTATACAGTACACTTCCCGCAAAACCAATAGTTTATCCTCTGTGTCTTTGCGCTCAAGTTACTGAGTAACCTTGACTCATCTTTAATAAGATTGGATATAAAAAAAGTGAGTTGCTGTGACCTAAGATTCCTTCACAGTTCTGGAAGCTCAACAATTTTTATCTTGTGCTTGAAATTATTATTAGATCCCTTAATGTGTTCAATGGCTCACCAGAGAGAACCGATTAAGTAATTAAAAAACTGATTGGAAAATTAACCAAAGCGAAGAAAAGACAGGACTTGTTCTTGATTAACCATGTTTACAAAAGAGGTAGGCAAAGAGCAAAAAAAAAAAACAGATTTTGCATCAAAAGCAACTAACAGTGTTTTAAATAACTTGCTAATAACTTAGTAAAAATCTAATATTGCGTTAATTTTGTTCTTTTCACTCATCCTCCTGCAATTTGATAGAAAGATATATATATATATATATATATATATATATATATATATATATATATATATATATATATATATATATATATATATATATATATATATATATACCTTTCTATCAAATGTCCGTGTCATGGGCCCTGAAGTGGATTTTGTAATAAAAAAGGCCGTAGAAATAGGAAAATAGTTTATTGTTTACTTTACTACTTT